GGATATTTATTGAACACATCTCGTATAACTGAACTAAAGCTGGTATACCTATTATAAATTAATTATTTTTCTATGGTATACTTATATTTTAGGAAATTGAATACAGAATATAAAGAGAAATGTAATTTGAAAAATGCACTACTTGAATCCCAAAAAAATGTAAAAACAAATAGTATCTATGTTTAAGCTAATGGTTATTGTGCTAATATTATTACATTTGATTTTCAGAAAATTAATAATGTATTCTTTTGGCCACATACTCACAGCAAATTTGAATCCAAAATATTTGATATAAAACTTAATTTGTTGGACCAATATCTAAAACCTAATATAAGTTATTCCAGTAATTATGATCACTCCAATTTTATATATGATGAAAATGATATGGATATCAAAGATTCAAAATCAAATAATAAACAAAAAAAAAAAGTGACTTTTCATTCATTTTCAGAGGATAAGATATCCCCAGAAACAAGTGATTATAATGTAAATGGCTGCAAAAACATAAATACATTTGTAGTAGAAACCGATCAAAATATAAACAACAATCCTGCACAGTTAAAAAATTGTCTTGATGTGCAAGAGAGGACCATTCAATTTAAGAAAAATGATATTATAGAATCAAAAGAAATGCATTCTAAAAACAATGATAAACATAATATGAATGATGGTGATCTTAATGCCTATACTGATAAACGTAAAACTATTGATGAACTGTCAAATTTTAAATTTAAAAAACCATATACTCCAGTACCAAATAACAATAAAATTCATTCAACAATTATTCAACCAAGTAAAATGAAGATAAACAAGGTATTTTTAAATTTAAGTAACTAATACTAATTTAAGCTATAGATAAGCAGGAAATATTAAYCTTWAGCAACTTTGATATTCATGTCGTATGCGATCTACCGCACACTTGTCACCTATCACGTATGTTTCTACACGTCATATGTGGTATACTGCCGCGTATCTATATAATATATTTTTTTGGTTTAAAACTTCAAATCATAAAAAAAATGCATATATCTCTATCGTTGCTGCCCTCGTATTTGGCGGAACAATGATGGTGGCGTCTAAAACACAAAAATGACAACACATTTGATTGTTTTTTAAGAGAGTTGAAATTATATTGTACCTAATTTAAATATAGATTAAGAGGACGCCACGCCCGCATGTGTTGTCTCCGTCTTACAAACGTATAACCTAGCAAAATCTGTTTAGCGCGGGACAACTGTTCTCCCTCAAAATTTATAATAGAATTTTCAAAATTTCACAACGCATAGGTAAGAACT